TCTCTCTCTACCTTCTAATAAAAGTTTTGTTTCTTTGCGCATTGCTTGACAATACGCCTCGCTGGCCTTTAGGTTGAGCGTTTGTCCGAGTAATGAAGGTTTGTTAATACTGATCTGACGCCTGACCAATACAAACTTAAGTCAGTACAATGTGTATTAATTGCTCTGTGCTTAACGTTCAGCTTTAAATATTGGATATTAATAATAAATCTAACAATGTTCAATTAACACAAGTCATATAAAACAATTTTGCTGAACTCGCAAACAGGTTCTACGAAATTGTATGCCTAAGTAGATCCATTTTCTACTCGCAGCTTATAAGAAAGAAAACCCTCGGTCGTCTTTTTCCATTTATTGTTCTGTGTTATTTTTCCAGACATCGTAACAATGTATTAACTAGGAGTTAAAAATGGATTGGTTTTCAAGTGTAATTTTTATGTGACTTTTCGTGAGTTCTCCTCGAACGACTCGGCGAATGTAGCAATGTGTTTATCGATTACAATCGCTAAGAAAGGTGGAACGGACAGTATCATATTGTTAATGTAACATGTATTGGATGAAAGCTGTTAAATATTTGCTTAGGTTGAAAATATTTTATGCTCGGAAAGTAATTTGTTGATGTCACACAACGAGTTTCTCTCTGGCTATGTCCTATATCAATAACAAAAAAATCTGCCATTCCTGTATAAGACGAATAACCACTTATTGATATGCAAAGTTAAGTAATATTTACTGATTTTTGATAAAAATGTGTATTGTGCGAATTTGTTTTTATAATGTCATAATTCAACCAACCAGAAAAAAAGGTTGAAAACACTTCAGTCAAGCATTTCTTTTATATTTTCACATGTAGCCTTGAAACTTTATAATCTTTTTATAGATAACAGCTAACTACTATTAGGCTTATAATTAACTTAGTATAACATCACATGTTATATGGGTCATATGACTAAATATCCCAATTGCTAAGGTTACAGATGTAGTCCTTGAATTGACATTTTCACTTTTATGTGTAAATCTATAATTTTTCTATTGGTAGACTACCGTGTAACGGGCTATTTCCGCAGGCTTAAATTTCCGCGGTTTCGTCCCAAAATTAGAACATTTAATTGACATGGATTGTATTTTCGCGATCTAAGACATGTAAAAATCCTAAATTTTAGCGGTGTTTTAGCCCAGAAACGGGATACTCTGCATATAACGTGTCAAACAGTCAAAGGAATAGGCTTTATGACAGCATATTCAGAAACAACAAGTAAGTGTATTCTGTTTTGCTAATCATCAACTATCATTTGTTATATAATCTGTATTTTAACATCTTATATTGCTCTTGATGTGAATTAATCATTACAACCACATACTTGCTATTTCATGATGATATTGCAGTTATGAAGTTTATGATGGCGGCATGTCTTTAAGGTTGTCATATTATTCTGCGGATTATATTTTCGCGATCACGTTAATGACCCGCGAAATCGCGAAAATATCCTCCCCGCGGAAACATCCCGCCATACAGTATTGTGAATATGGCTAGTTTCTCGCACAACTTAATAATACGTATATGACGCTACTAACTTATAATTGAAATTCAACACTAGCGACATCTACTATATTCATTTCCACATACATTGCAAATATTATTAAGGACAATACCACTCTTATTTACGTCCGTATCACTCCGCCCCCCATTATCAAAACATGCCACAGTGTAACTTCTATTTACACCCACGTAAATCCGCCAACCAATATCAAAATGATATAACTTTACAACGTTAAATGTATATAGATTTGAGTCATTCAAAAACCATGTAAGCGATGTCACGTTCAAATTCCTCAAAGACATGTCATACATTGTATTACCGGAACTAATTTGAGGTATGGAATACAAACATATGAAACTCATTGCTGATTGGCTGATTAATTTGCTAGAATCATTTTAAAGCAGTTAACATGTATCTGCTTTCATTATAAAATGAAATAATTCCTATAAAAAAAATTCGCACATTAGTCCATGAATATTAACATTAAAAACCGTTGTGTTTAGAAACAAAATTCAGCCATTGGTTATGTATACAAGTGACCAACCTTGTCCTCTGTCAACGAGTGACTAAAACCTTCACAACAAGTGGTGTGACGCGTTGTAAGCCTCGTAGTAGCACATACAATGGTGTACAATGTACAGTTATCAATAGTGATATACCACTGTATCGTCATAGACATTACTGCCAATCAGTTTATTGTATTCATATGTAGTTCTACTATTACAATACATTTCATAGTGCTATGTTTTACATATAGAGCGTATTCCATGTAGTATTGGGGAGTTTTAGGATGTATGCCATTGTATTATGCCATGGTATCATACCATGTAACGTACGACATTGTAGTATATGACATGATATGATAGTAGTAGAATGATAATCTATTTAAAATCAATGTACGTCATGGCATTGTGCTGTACCGGATGGAAATGTATTATATTGTAATACGCTGTATTGTTATAGTCTTTGTCGCCGTATTACACCGTATAAGATTATGGCGTATTTCAGTGTAGTATTCTATACTAGAATTATTATAATGTAAGACGGACGTAAGACACTCACTTGTAGATACAGCATGTCAAAGTAGGCCTATAGTATGTCGCTGTATATACCGCAATAGCTACTGTTGTGTCTTGAAACGCTTGTAACCTGAATCTGTTAGCCGCAGTAGACAGTGTCGTCTGTCAATAATTGCAGCATGTCAGGTGAGACGATCAGAATTTATTTACGTATTCACACTACGCGATGAAGTAATAATCAATGAACTAATTAAGACTAACTCCCGCACAGCTTTGTGATGTAAATGTAATTAATTCTATAGTGTATTGCACGGTAGTCTATAAAAGTAATGGTAAATAAGGGTTGTCACTGTGATTATTCCATCCTCGATACTCCAGAGTTGACGCTCAAAACGCTCTCTGCACCACTGGAATATGTCGTGATGAAATCGAAGATGATGTACGCGCCACTTTGTGAATGCTACAAGTAGACTAGTTTGATTCTTTGATGTACAGTCAAAGAATCTCGGGGCAGCGGTACGGTACCATTGACTGGCCTTGGAGCAGCGTGTTGCTCCTCTTTAATTTTCAAGGACATGTATCAGCCTAGCGATTGGTGATTTCGATTTTGCCTATTTCAGGTGTGATATGGAGCTTAAGTTAGCGTAACACCTGGAAGTTTGAGAATGAGTGTATTCTGGTGCCACAATCATAAAACATCTTTTGATACTTTAGTGAAAAGGTTGATTTATCAATCAGACAGACTATCCTTTGAGAATATTAGTCCGTATTTTGTGAAATGATAAACACCTGTACTAATAGAATGACAGTAAACAGTAAGAAAACATTTCAATTTGGACAGAGTCAAGATTTGTTCATGCCCACCAGGCCTTTGCGTACAGGATAAAGACAATCTGGGAAAAGAGATCATTTGAGCTAGGCTTAAAAACCAATGTTAATATTTAGGAAAAAATGGGTTTTTGCGGTTTGCTTTCAAAACCCATAAGTTTGGTTGCATAGAAATGTATTAACTTTGATGCTTTATTAATTTACACTTGTGTTTTAAAATTATCAATTTTATGAAAGGAAATGCAATCTTTTGGGCATTTAATGATAAAATGATTAATGGAGTGCACACCGCGGTTCTACTGAATGTTTCCTGAATAGTACATGTAGTATAAAATAGAGAATAATACATGCCTTTTTCCATATCACACCCAGTATCAACCCGAGACTGCAATATCAGCCCAAGGGCCGAAGGCCCGAGGGCTGATATTGGTCGAGGGTTGATACTTGGTGTGATATGGAAAAATGCGTGTTTTATTCTGTTTATTACAAATTTACTAATAAAAACAAATATCTTATGATTTAATTTTCTTTTTGAAATATTGAAAAACGAAAAATAATAATCCAAAAGTGGTGTGATATGGGTTTTGCGGGCTGATACGGGTTTTGGGGTGTGATACGGCGGGGGCTGATACGGGTTTTGGGGTGTGATACGGCGAGGGCTGATATGGGTTAGAGCAATTGTGTCGTATTGCATATACAAAAAACCCGTATTTATCAGTAAGTATGTAATAAACCATCTTACGTAATAGGTACAAATGTATACACATAACAATGCTTGTAACACATCATTCATTCCTCTTAAAAGGGCTGCAACGATATGTCGCGATATTTTGAATACGGTACAATACACATTTTTTTGTTAGGAGATTTCGATACACCTACGATATTTTACGGATTTTGTCGTTTCTAAATTCAATCTTCTCATATCGGTTTTAACATGGTGAGTGACAGCTCCAGTTCGGCATGCACGTTAGGCCCATTTTTGACCAAGCCTATTTCCATTTGTAATATTGTCATTATCAATTTGCGGCACCTCTTTTCTCGTTGCTTCTACTGTTATTATATGTATCATTAAACATATTGTACTGTGACCACGGTATCGTGATACGTATCGTATCGTCAGGTTAATGTATCGTTCCAGCCCTACCTCTTTGTAAGGAGGCATGATCTCTAGTTGACACGAGATCGCTTACGTTGTATTGCGATTGCAGAACTTTCAGCATATTGCTAGTATAGGCGCATTTCATTTATAAATAATGCATGCTATTGACATTAGTATGATGTAAATTCTCCATATTTCATAAGTAATATTGATGTTTTGTGTTTCAACGCTACTACAATGGAAAACTTACACTAATAGAGATGGGTTTCACTGTAAAACAAAAAGTTACCTTGTATATAGATAGTATCGTGTTATTTCAGTTCATAATTGCAAATGTATGGACATCTGTAATCCCCAAAGAAACATGGTCACAATATGTTTTCGTTGATTGAGACAAAATGTGTTATTTTCAGGAATAACATAAACACATTAGTTAAAGGTTATTCACCACTAATTTTCATGCGAGATATAGGGATATAAGGACTAGTTAAATGATTAATTAATACTTACAGTTCCCGGGTGTCGGTCGGTAAATGCTGAGGTACGGTTGTCAGGTTTCTCCTCCGGCAGTTACATTGAAAACCCCCAAACGTTGTTGCTTTTATGCACTCACACACATTTTCCGGTGTCCCTTCAGTAGTGTCCGCAGCATTACAAACAAATAAACACGCCATGGCGACGTACAAAAATACCGCCATGACGGAAGCGATGTAACCACTTCCTGTTAGGGTCGCCATTAGAAATCACGGGAACATTTCCCGGACGTGTAGGATTCGAGGTACTCCCAACAGGTATAAAGGGCAAGGGCTAGGCCAGAGGTATCTCCGAACTCTTCAGTGTCCCCACACGGAATGGCGAACCTTTGACAGTCCCTGCCTTGAAATGACATCATTATCGGTTATCATCACAATTTGAAGTATCGGTAATCAGCCATATAATCTACCGAGTCGTTAGAACGCAGATAAAGGGATGTATCTAACACTTCACAATGCCGGATTTAGAACAAACCCAGCGCATCACAAAAGGATGCGAGCCCTCTTATCCAAGTCACCCGATAGGGGCTATGGGCCCCTCCGTACGGCAACACTGTCCGACGTGTACACATTTTTCTGAAGTTTACTGGAGTAGAGGAGTCGGTCCCTGTAACTATATAACCCTGTCCGAGGGCTCAAGTGGAAAACAAGCCTATCGATCTCTGCGCTTGTAAGTCTGTGTACGCCGTCTATAGCCGGCTAGCATGTGTCACAACGGTTATAAATCCCGCATTGTATCTCACGAGATCTAACGGGAGGGACATTCCGGGGCTTACATATCCACAATACTTGGTTAGATGTAGATACAGATGACTGGTCACATGGGGGTGAGGAATGGGGGCGCGTGCGAGCGCCGTGAAGATGCAAAAGAGGACTTCACCTTTGTAAGGAGGGTGTGTGGCGTTCACAACATGAACTTGCATATATACTTGTTGAAATCGATTAGCTACTGAGGGTCTAAGCCGGCAGGTCTGGCGAACTGTACAAACCTATTCCCTAACATAAACTATCATAGACAATGTTATATTAGAAATATGTTGAGGAGATTGGCATTGTAAAAACTCTATACATAAGTGAAGCAGACAGACAGAGAATTGGCACAAACAGTATACATATATCACGCGCTGTCTACAGCGGCACGCAGACTCTTGGAAGGGGAGGGGGTCGTTTGTATGTTTGTTTTGATGGTATTTTTTCACACTTGTCTCAATAGGTTTCCATTTTTATAGCCTAATTACAAACCGGCAATATCGTTTACATATTAATATCTTCACATATTTTGTTAAAACATTGATCTATATGTTTCAATTGATCATATTTGGCACAAAACATGTTTGCTGATCGCCTCAATGTTTTATTTGTTTCCCCGATTTTGATTACGTTAGAGTTAATTGGGAAACGGTGTATTAATTATGGAGTTCCTCCTATGTGTTAGTAAAACCAAAATTCATGATTTAAAAAATTATTGCAAAAAACCTTTTTGTGTAATTTGCAGAGTAATGAATGTAACAGATTAATGCTGTAAGACATATGTTTCACGTATGTAATGAATATCCCATAATACTTAGTAATATTGTTTATTTGTAACAACAAAGAGTATATGACGATTGTGCCAACAAATGATAAGGTCTTTCAATGATCGTTTAAAGATAAAGAGTCCGAACAATTTACTATAGTACACAGGCGTCGAAAACTGTTTTCTGTTACATGTAAATGTATGCTATTTCTTCTTAACTTATTCGAAAACGATCTTAGATAATGTCCTTCCTAGGGAGCTAGAATTATTGTAATCCAAATATTTTGTTGCTGAAAAGTGTTTGTTGATTAAGACAGTGTTGGAAACAATCTTATCAATTTTGATTTATTCGAAACACATATATGAATAAAATAGTCATTTATTACAAAGAGATATGGCGGGTTGCTATGCCTAATCCCCAAAGCCATGTTACGCAAGTGCGCGCATCCAACCGTGCACTGTTATGACGCGTCCTCAGGTATTTTTTATACAGGTAGCAATATCGGAATCCCGTGTCTAAGAATAGATTATTGTAAACAGACCACATATTTGGTATTTCGGCATTATTAAAGCACTTGATATAATTACTATTGCCAGTTGGAGGGTAAAACAATTCATAAATTTTATCAAAAATAGTTTCTTACCTACAAAGCGTAGCTGTACTGTACACGTGTACAGGGATGTGTTGACATGCTTCCACAGAAGTATGTCGCACTAAATGGTAAAGAAATTATTACTTACAAAACTGATAAGTCAATAGGAATGTTTTAAAATGTAAACAAAATCTTCCATCGATTTAATTAAAACCACCATTGCCTTATTAAGGAAAATGATCACATGCCTCAATATTAAAAAAAACCCAAAAAAACTGAAGGAGGATTCGAACCTGCACCGTTTATTTTCTAGTCACAAGTAAACTGCGTTACATATTCGGCTACATAGAACATATAGATATTGTCAATTACAAACTTATCACCGATCGCAGTTTAGAGAAACTTAATCACCTCTGTTTTTCATTTTTTTGAGCACTTTCCCAAAGGAGGCCACTTTTCCGTAATACGATTTGATTTTGCATATTACATCACGGTCACAAAAAGTTTATTCAAAAGTTGGTCCTCGGATGGGAAAGTGTTGAAAGTATTATTTTAACTCCGGGAAACCCCATCACTTTCATAGATATAGTGTATATGGCTATATTTGCAGTATCATATTAGCAATACCTAATTTCTCAGCAGTTTAAAAATTAATATTCAATTGGTTTTGTATCTTTTGTATGCATTTTTGCTACACGAAATGTTTTACTCCTTAATTTTTTTTCCCCGTTTTCATAAATGCCGACTTAGGGAAATACGGGCAGTTTTCCGCCATACCTCTTTGAATCATAACTAAATAAAAACACTCCGGTTAAGCATGAAGCTGTTGCTATACCTAAGAACGGCGGAAATTTTTGAGCATGTTCAAAAATTTCTACCGTTGACTGCCGTTGCTGATTTTCCGCCGATGTTCTGACGATCAACTGCCGTTCCTAGCGATGTGATACCATTGCGCTGCCGTACTTGTGTGACGGGCCCTTAAGAAGTAGAACAGGAACATCCAAAAAAGGGTCATTATGAGCTCATGTACATTCAGCTGTTGTACCATTTGCGTGTTATTACTTGTACAACTGCAAGAAATGATAATGATGAGGGTATTTTTATATTTTAAGTACGCTGTTACATGTTAAGGTGCTATTAAGTCAAAGAAGACCAAAGAAGTCGATTAGAGAGTGAATATAGAACTCCAAACAAACCGTAACTAGTTGTTAATGATAAGACCTGAAGCCAACGTCCAATGTGGGCATTTTTTTTTTCTTTTAGGAAAGTTGGTGATAAATATCCGGGGCTTTCAGTGAGAGGTAAACATGTAAAGTACACGTACCACCTTATCGACCGACAACGTGAGTCTGATTTCCCACACTTACACAATACACCCCAAGCAGGATTTATAAGTATCATTATATATAAATCTAATGAGATATTTGTATTAACGGTAGGATTCGAATAAAAAGAAACAAATTCAAGTCGGATATGCACGCACGAAAGTACCTTAGGGAGAATTTCAAACCGCACAAAGTACGATATCAGTAGGTCGTTACTTGTCAATTTCTCGACATGAATTGTTGTGATAAGATTACAAAAACATTTTTCATCACTTAATTGTCACTTTAAACTTGTTTACTTTGCTCGACATCGACATGTAGGATATAACTGCTGTTTAAGCCTTTTCACTCTTTATTGGCTAATTTGGCTTTCATAAAATGCCGAGTTACCGGAGGATTGTAACCAACCGTTCGAACAGACTTAAGTAATACCAAAACTGTATGAAGTCTAGAGGCTAGTTGCAATAGATCATCAGAAACTAGCAATTTTATTGAATTCACTTATAGTGGTCGTAATACAGGGACAATTTTTGTTTGTTTTCAAGGGGTTATCGTCCTATTAACAGCTAAGATCATTTAAGGTCGTTCCTCCATTTGTGTAATGTATGAGTGTTTGAGTGTACGAGTGCTGGAGTAGTTACATGCAGGTTGGTGTATTTGCCTTCTTGAGATAGCGCGGATCTGATGCCGACTTTTAAGGGCTACTACACTGAAACACCATGCCGTAGGCGTCCAGGATAATTCTTCACCTGGTCACCTTATACTGACAACTATCTAACCATTTGTTACGATTAATCCTAATTGCTGAATGTTTACCAGCGTTGGTTTTATACAGGGTTAAGCTTCCTTCTAACAGCTAATGTTATTTAAGGATGTGCCGAAATGTGTGTAGTGCAAGCGTGCTGGAGTGAGGATATGTTGATGTGATCGTCTCCCTGTCATAACGTGAATCTGATGACGACATTATAGTGTTATCTCGCTGATGGCATCAAGCACAGCATCCCTTCCGGTCACATTATACTGACAACGAATGGACCCGTTTTTACCAAGGAATACAGGGGAAGAAAATTAATAAAATGAAGTTCGACCACATCTTTGATATTCCATGGGTTACGCTCACTTACGCTCTCTGAACATAGCATGTAAAATAAGCACAACCCTTGCAGAATCAAGTATGGTTCGACCATGATGGACATCTCATAATTCCTATAGAGTACTCACGAGACCATCAGATGTAATATTATATTCGGTTAAGCTGTTGTAACGTTAATGTCTTTGGGACGATTACGTCTCCTTTGAAGAGTGAAAAAAGACATTACATTTGCATCAGCATCCTTAACATGACAAATTTCCTGCAGAAGCTATACGGTCGTAACATCAATCCGGCGTAGTCGGGCAAGTAATTATCAGTAACTACAGAACTAAATAAAACTAAGCAATTATCAGTAATGTCTTGTTGCTATTACCTTTGGCAATCTGGAAGGAGATGTACTCAGATTGTTATGCCTTCTTCAGAAATGTTTCTTCGAACATTGAATTGGTCAACATTTACAACATACGTGATAACTGCATTTTAAGGGTACTTGCCTCATTGCAGGCAAACCATTTACAGCCAGACGCATGTGTGATCACTGCATTTTAAGGGTACTTACCTCATTGCAGGCAAACCATTTACAACCAGACGCATGTGTGATCACTGTATTTTAAGGGTACTTGCCTCAATACAGGCAAACCATTTACGACCAGACGCATGTGTGATCACTGTATTTTAAGAGTACTTGCCTCATTGCAGGCAAACCATTTACTGCCAGACGCATGTGTGATCACTGTATTTTAAGGGTACTTGCCTCAATGCAGGCAAACCATTTACAACCAGACGCATGTGTGATCACTGTATTTTAAGGGTACTTGCCTCATTGCAGGCCAACCATTTACAGCCAGACGCATGTGTGATCACTGTATTTTAAGGATCCTTGTCTCATTGCTGGTAAAGCACTACATATTTCGTACACAGAATAACCTAAACTGTATCCTTTAACCAGTTTGGGATATAACTGAAGCGTGACTTCTTTTGTGTGCTTCCGATTAACAGGCAGTTCGGTTGACTATTGCGACGATATACTGATTGAGGGTCCAAGGTTCAAAAGACTATTGTTGATTTTTGTTGTTTATATGAATATTCTGGAAAGTGTATTTTATCTTTTTTGGATCTATTTAAAATGTGTCATTGTTAGATTCATGCCGGAAGAAACTTTTCAATGAATAGTAACAGCCTTTAGCGGTTGTACTGGGTTCCTTAACGAAGACTAGTACATTACTTGGCCTAAGTTATTCGTATAACTTACAAATCTGTGCAAAAACACACACGCGCTTTTATTTGAGGTGAGTACGCCATACCCATACACCTAAACTCTAACGAATATTTGAGTTTTAAGGATCGTCGTACCACAACCAAAAAATTAAACTTCCTTTTTCCCCGATATGACTATAGTTTTGATTAATCATTTTTGAAAGGAAACACCCTTTTTGGCGGAAATTTCATTAAAAAGGATAATAAACATGAAATAATATTTAAAATAAAATAAAATAACAATCAAGAAACAGTGTTCTGAATATAAAAATGCAACAGTACCAGACCAGGAATCCAACCCTGAACCGCCTATCATTATACTATCACTTTCAGCAAGCAACTGTGTTATCTAATCTAATCAACCGTAGTACCCTGACCGAGGCGGGCTAACTTGAAAGCCAAAATGAAATGAAGCGGAAGTTACTGATATGTAC